AATGAAGCTGAGGAAGAAGAATGATCTTTCTCTAGACAACCAGGGGACCCATCATCACCCAATCTACAGCTATGAAGTGCCATAGGGCGGTGGGCACATCAGCTCCCACCTGCTATGGGGCTAAGTGCACGTGCATTACTACAGCTCTAGAATTGAGTATAGATCTTTCCGAGCAGGAGACTGGGCCTGTTGTGTTTTTTTTAGGATCAGTGTGGCGCCGAGAAAGTGGTCCCCTAAAGAAACAGGTGTTTTCTGTGCATAGATTCTCACAGAATCAGTGGAGCCGAACTAGGCTCAGTTATCCTCAGGGGGCATTATGGGAAAAAGACAGATTATCTCCTAAGTCTAAGTCTAAGTACCTCCTTGTTATCAGGTCATCAGGAATTTGGGGAGGTTAAGACTAATTGCCCACCCTCCCATCCCCCAAGGCCTAGCAGTTCTAACCTGATGGGTGGGGACCAAGGGACTGAGTGGAGTGCTCCACTCAGGGGTGGTCCAGTTTATCTGGGGCTGCCTGTCCCTGCGGGTGGTCACAGACTCGTCAAGCAATTGACAGTCTGGTCAATAGCAGATGGAACCTCCAAGTCACTTTCTGGGAGGCCCTTGGAAAAGGAATGGCCCCTAGCCCCCTGGGAGCTCTTCTAGGCAAAGGCAGCGCCCCAGCCTCAACCCAAGGCCGCCGGGCATTGGCCCAGAATGGACCCATCACTTATTCTAGTGAAAGGGGGAGAAGTGAGCAGCGGTTGGCTGGTTGGCTCCCAGGATTCTACACTTAGTAGGGTAATAACAACAAATTGATGATTACTAAATAGTTCCCGGGGTAGAATGTTAGATCTTTCCCTCAAAGAAACTACCTCGCTCTTATTTCTGCAGCAAATGATACTCAAGATGGAAATGGTGAAGTGATAAAAATGCCAATGTTAATACAAACATTAAAGATTTGAGTTTCACTCTTTACTACAGCACTGCCTGTCACTCAGAAGGACTTTATATGTCACACACACAGACACACACACACACACACACACACACACACACACACACACATGTTCTACCACATCCTCTCCCCATCCTGTGCAATGGCAGAGTTAACAAAAAGTTAGCAGAGAAACCTGGAAAATCTCCCTCTTGTTTTCAGGAATGGGTGTGGCATGTCTTGCCAGCACTGCCAGAGAAGTGGTTGATCCTAGGAGCCTATCAAAGTCAAAGATATGTGAAGGGAAAATAATCACAACAACAACAATAATCACCACAGGAATAATAACAGTGAACACTTACTGGGTGGTCTCTATGTGCCAGGCACTCTGCTGAGTGCTTTGCATGCATTATCTCACTAATCTTCACTCCAGCCCTGTGAGCTGGGCACTGAGGCCCACAGTGGCTAAGGAACAAGCCCATAGTCACACAGCCAGTAAGTGGTAGGTCCAGGGTACGAAAGAACGCAGAGAGCCTGTGCTCTTCCTCCTCTAGACAGTGAGATTTCTTGGCAAGGGCGTTGGGTCAGACTGGAAGAGGATAGGAAGCTTCAAGAGGGGTAGGGGTTCCGAGAGGCAGGAAGTGCCAACACTGGGACAAGAAAATGTCCTACCAAGGAGGTGGGAACCCAAGGCAAAGCGTGCTCAACCTGGGCAAGCTGCTTAATTTCTTGCTTCTTATTCGCCTCTTTAAGAAATGTTCTGGCACTTTCCTTTGCAGACCCTCCTGTGTGAACACCCTTCCTTGCTACTTGACCCTCCTCCTCACCCTGGGTGTAGGCTGGGGTCTCTTTGCCAAGAAATGCACCTTAAAACAGGATTTCTCAACCAAGAAGTCAGGCCACTCTGGTATGTCCCTTTGGTGTTGAAATGTGCTGGGGGGAGGGCAAGAGGGCAGTGAGAGAGGAAAAATGATGAACGTGTGTGTGTGGGGGGGCAGGATGTCAAAGTGCTTTTATCTAAATAAACCTAACAAGGGCCAAGTCCCCTCCATCCTCAGCCACAGGAGACACAAAACCAGCAGAACAAATATATAGCTAGTCCTTGGTGGTCTGGGGAGAAACACGTGAGACTCTTCTAGATCAGGCGTCCTCAAACTATGGCCCGAGGGCCACATGTGAGTGTTTTGCCTGTTTGTTTTTTTTTACTTCAAAATAAGATATGTGTAGTGTGCATAGGAATTTATTCATAGTTTTTTTTAAACTATAGCCCGGCCCTCCAACTGTCTGAGGGACAGTGAACTGGCCCCCTGTTTAAAAAGTTTGAGGACCCCTGCTCTAGATCTTTCCGTTCCCAGATGGCAGAGGGGGAAACAATTCTGAAAACCTCTCTCCTCAACCTGAACCTCTGGACTTCCAGAGAAATTCCAGAACCCTGGGGAAAACTGGGACCCAGCCAGCCCATGTCCCCTGTGAACACCTGTGGCATGTCAGTTTTCCCGTCCCTTTGGTGTCCCCTATCTCTCCCCACTCCTTCCCCCTCCCCTGGGCCTATGGGGGGGCGGAGGAGTGCAAAATGAAATCCCCTCAGCTTGGGTGGCAGGGAAGCCTGGCCACCCCTTTGTCTTATCAATGCATGCTGGGCTCACTGAGCCAGCCACTTTGTATCTCCTGGAGTGGAGATCGGGGTTTGCACCAGCCACCCACACTCGCTGACCTGGTCTTTTATGTGACATGCATTTGCCAAACAATTATCCAGGCTTCGAAGGTCAGTCCATGGCTAGGGAATAGAGAGAAAGGCGTCTTTTCTCCCTTTTCTGCTGAGCCAAATCTCCCCCTCGCTGCCCCCGCCCCCCTTCAAGGTCTAGCTCGAGCCCGCATCCCTCACAAAGCCTTCCCTCCCTCCTCCAGCCGCTGCTGACCTCAGAGTCCTGGCCGGGCTGGCCTCTGCTCCAAGGAGCACAATTAGCACCTGACCAGCCACTGGCCTGGCTGCTTGTCCTCGCCTCTGATTGTTTCAGTGTCTTAGTCATCTATTTCCCCACCACACCTCCTTCTCTCATCTCCCCCACGGCGCCTAGCACAGGTTGGGCACACAGTAGGTGTTAATAAATGTCTGCCGAATTGAAACTCAGCAGCCCCTATGAGGTCAGAACCCTCATAAGCACCTCGACCAGCAGTTTCTTGGCAACCGGCACTGGGGCCCGAGCTACAGGGCATTAGCAGCGTGGCCGCTATTACAGGATACACGAGGCTCAGCAGCCAGAGATTCACAGGCAGGTTGGTGTTGATGAGAAAAGCCCCTGACCCCTAGGAAAGAGCCCACAGGATTCTGGGTACCTCGCGTGAACTTCTTTTCTCCCCTGCAGAACTAGTTTTCAGTCTGAGAACCACAAAGGGAATAAATTGGCAGTGAAGCCAGAAACCTCTCTGCAGCTGAGAAATCCAAGCCCAGGTTGGGGTCGAGTCCCCCGTCTGAGGAGAGAAGGCGACCCCAGCAAGATGCAAGGGGCATGGCAGGCATGAGCCTTGCCACTCCAGGGGGCTATAGGAGTGTTTCGGGGTGGCCCTAAGTAATGCCACCCTGCCTTGGAACCCAATAAATGACACCCTGCATGCTTGCCACCTGCAGCCTGTGCAGAAACCAGTGTCCCTTTTCCTCTCATTTACCCAAATCCCAGGGCAGGACTCTTTGTGTGTGTCTCTCTGTGTGTGTGCATGTATGTGTTTATATGTGTGTGTGCGTGTATGTGTGTGTGTTTATATGTGTGTGTGTGGTGGGGGGGACATTGAGACCAGAACCTAGCCAGTGTTTCCATGCAAGGAAAAGCCTCCAAGTCTGGGGTACCCAGCTACCCACACTGGTTCAGGGATTTGAGCCTGGTTTCAAATTATGGTTGTTTATAATTTAATTTTATTAAATTATCAATATCTCCTCTTGCTGGCCCCCTCCCACATCTCCCCACCCGCACTCCAGCCCACACAATAAGGTACACACAATCCTGCAAGGCAGGTGGTGTCTTCTTCACATCAATATTTTCCTCACTGCCACTTCTTTGGGGCCCAGTACTGGGACTGGCTCTCAGCAAATGTTTCCTGAGTTGAATCTGAGTTTTAGGCACTGCATTAGACAACATCATAATGCCAGCTCGCACTTACTGTGTGCTACCCACTGTTCTAGGTAGCAGCTTATATGTATTAATGTAATCATATGAGGTAGGTCTCATTTGACAGATGAGGAAACTAAAACAATCGACTAGGAGGATCACACAGCTAGTAAATAACAAAGCTGGGATTTCAATCCTCTCTGGCTCTAAGAACTGGAGAGAAAATGAGAAAGCTGGGGTGGAGGCAGTGTGTACAGGACGAAAGCTAAACTTGGGGGCAGAAGTTTCCCTGTGAAGGCAATCCCCTCCGCCTGTGTCTGGTTGAGTCTCTGAAATTTGCCCCTAAATTTCCTTTAGGGGCATTTTGGACAAGCTATCAATCAGGTCCATAAAGACAGATCACTGTACCCTCATTTTTAGATCCCAACATATAACAGAGGAGACAGAAGCCACTGTGCTACCACTTAGCACTAGGTGGGAGAGGATGGATTTCAGGCCCCCAGCTCATCCAGGGGTGGGTGCCAGTTCCTGAGCAACCACCGAGCAAACAGAGTGCAGCAAAGGGAGGAATGCCAGACATAGTTGCAAACAAGCCACTCCTTCGGCTCACAGCAAGAGGCTGGGTGAGGGTGGCAACGTGGAGCCTGCTTCATGGTCCCCCACCCCAACAAGAGATCCCAGGCTTTGAACCCAGCCCCAGAGACAACCGCATGCAAGGCAGCCTCTTCCCCATACCGGCTGATGGGGATAGAAGCCCTCCCTGATAAACCTCACTTGATTCAAGATCGCTCCCTTCATGCTGCTTCTGCACTGGGTGCGCTGAATTAACAGTTGCGAAAACACTTTATAACCAGGAAAACCCTGTGTAACTAACTGCAAAGAAGGATTGGTATTCTTGCTGGGCACACGTGTTCTCTGGCCATTTTCAGTGCCAAAGTGTCCCGTCTCCCCAAAGGGAAGAAGTAGAACTGTTCCCTTACCTCCCTCCAACCTGGCACTCAGGGTTGGGGTCAGCTCGCTGGGGATGAGTCCCCAATGGGCGTGCCCACCAGCTGTTGAGGCTGAGCAGTGGTGGCTCAGGCCCTGGGGTGGTGACCTCACTTCCGTTCCTACCTCCCCACCTCCCCAGCACTCCTCCCATTTGAGGCCCCACCAGGCCAAAATCGAGAAGTCCAAGGTTAACTGTTCCTCCCCACTTTAAGAGCTAATTAAAATGATTAGCCACAATGAACTGTCAAACATTAACCAAAAGAAGCTGCAGGACCAGACAGGCCTCTATCTCGGGCAGAGGGATGAGGGGCAGGAATCAAATGGCCATCAAATCCCTCGGCTGGGGTGTGGTGGGTGGGGGGTGGGGGCAGACCGAGAGAACCTCACTGAGCCTAAGTGCCAAGGGGTCAGGAGGTGACTGTGGTCAGGAAAGCATATAGTCATGAGGAAAGGGCGGCAGAGTTAGGGTGCGGTGAAGAGGTCAGGAATTCATTGACTGGTTACCGCCTCTGCAGTCCCCCAAACCCCGAAAGCAAGGCGCTGGCATCAGGGGACCCGCGCTGTGCGGCTGCTGAGTCCCATAGGCGGCATCAGAGGAGGGAAGAGAGAGGAGGGAGAACCCGGGAGAGCGGGAAAGCGGGAGCAGGAAGGCTGATGGCTCCCTCCTACGGAAACTCTGGCCCCTGCCAAGAGGTCTCTATTTTGGCGATCCGTGTCTCCAAGTCATAGTTTTGCGTGCGTGTGTCCCTAAAGCGCCTGGCCCCAGAAGCCCTAGGAGCCGCCCAATCAGCCTAGCTGCCTCTCCACGGTCCGCCCAACCTCCTGCCCTCGGGCACCGAGCTTTTGGGGGCCCGCTGTCACACTCGGCCCTGTCACGGGACCTGGGCTGCCTGGGGAGTGGGCAAACCGGCTCCCCACCCCGACTCGGGGGATCGATTCCACTTCTACCTCGGGATCAGGAGCCCAGTTCCCCAACACACACGCGGTGGGGTGAGGCAAGAGCGACACCGTCACGCCGCGGCTCTCCCACCCTTTCCCCGGGCCGCCAACCCCACTCCGGGGCCTCGGCTTTCTCAATCCCGCCCTCAAGCAAACTTTCCGAGGTCCCCGAGGGCTCGAAGAAGCGGCGCCATCGACGTACCTGAGGCCAAGTGGCTCGCGGGCCAGGCTCGGTCGCCGAGCCAGGGTCGGTCTCCGAGGTTCCCTCCCCGATCCGGGGGCCGAGTCGCGGGTCCCCAGCCCCGCCAGCCCGCCTTCTCCCCTCGGAAGCCGGGCCGGGCAAGCGGCGCCGGGAACTCGGCGCCGGCGAAAGGAGAAGTGGAAGTTGAGCGCGGCGCCGGGTCCGTACCCGCGGCCGCCGGGGCCGTCGTCCCCTCCCTCGCTCCCCCGCCTTCCCTCCCTGCCCGCCTGCCCCCGCCGCCCCGCGCCCGTGACTCACCTCGGCGCCGGGGCAGGCTGGTCCGGGCGGGTGAGGCTCAGAGCTCTCCCACACGTCGCGCCGCCAATGGCAAGTTGGAGGGCGAGATGCAAATACCAGGTGAGAAGGTGGCACCCCCGATAAAACGACTCGGGGGGCGGGGTGGAGCGCGGGGGTCAGGGCTCACGCAGGGGAGGGCCAGGCCGAGGGAGGGGGTGGCGGGGGCGCCCAGGGAGGGGGCGCGAGCGGCGGAGACCTGCAGTGAGACAACTGAGCGAAAGGGGAAATTGCACTAGAGACACACACGTCCCCACAGGCGGCGGCTGGGGCGGGCGCGAAGGAGGCTGGGCGGGAGGGAGGGAAGAGCTGGAGGGAGGGACCGACGGGAGGGACCTTAGGCGGGCGGGGTGGAGGAGGGAGCGAGGGAGGGACGAGGCATCTCGGTGGAAACAGCGCCCCTCCACCCCCAGCCCGCCGCGGTCGCCAGCACGGCAGGGGGAGCCGTGCCAGGGGCCCGCGCCGCCTCTCTTTCCCCTCGCGGCTTGGTCTTGCCCTGGGGACGGCGGGGACAGGGCTCCTGCAGAGCCCACGTCGCACGCTGGGCCAGGGGCTCGCAGCTCTGTCCAGGCCCTTCCCTGTGGGAAGTCCTCACACAGAGAATGGGAGCCCCGCAAAGAAACCCATTCCGTGGGGACTCTGGAAAGCTGTGTCCAGCCCCCCGCCCGGACCGTGCAAGTGGAGACTCGCTTGACGCCTTTGGGCCCAGCCCTGTGCTCCACATTATTGAGCGCCTGCTGTGTGCGGCCCGGGCGGGAGGGCGGGCCGAGCAGTGGGTGAGGCCACAAGATGCCCAGAGGATACAATTCTGGAACAGTACGCTGAACACCGCAGAATCCCGGGCCAAATACATCCTGCGGTTGGTTGATGGAAGAGTTTCTGGGGACATCTTAAGGGAAGTTGAGCCTAGGGCTTCTGCGGTGCAAGACAGGGAGGTGACGAATCAGGGGAGGGGCTGGGGTAGAGGGGCTGGCACAGCAGGTGCAAAGACAGCCAGAATTGGAGTGCTGGGAGGAAGCCCATGCCCACCCTTCTCCAGTACAAAGCAAGGCTGCTCTACTTGAAGTGTTCACCTGGACCCCAGTCTCCCATTCTGTCTCCCCTTTGTCCCTTCTGACCTGTCTCAGCATCCATACCAGCCCCCTTCCCCGGGCCTCCAGTTAGGAGCCTAAACTGGGAGGGAGTCTGTTGAGAATTGACACTCCTTAGGGCTGTACACGGTCTGGGGGAGGGGCCCAGCCAGGCTTCAGCCTTGGCAGAAAGCAGCAAAGCTAAAGGGGCCCCAGGGGAGGTAGGCCCTCTGAGGGGTGGGGCCAAAGGGCCTGAGGTTCAAGGGCTCAGCCAGCAGCAGCCACCTGCTTCTCCAGCCTTGAGAATGACCCGGGGCACAGGATGGGGGTGGGGGGCAGGAGTGGTGGTGATGATGGCAGCAAAGGCGGCTGCAGATTACAAGGTTCCAGGAAAAGATCTAGTGACTAGACCAGGGCACTGGGCCTTGAGATCTTCTGGCTACCCATAGCTAAGCCCTGCAACAAGCACCAAGAGCAAGTGTCCACTTCTTTTTCTTTAACAAGTGGACGTGCTTTCCTCAGGGGATTCTGGATCCTTGAGACACACAGTTCTTTGCTGGCCTCTTGCCCATGAGGCTCCCCTCTCAAATTTGTGGTAGGTCCCAGATGCCCCTAAGCCCCCTTTAACTTCACCTCAAAATTCACTAATGGACACACACACACACACACACACACACACACACACGCAATGTATGCACACACTCTTTCTCATTTTGCTAAGAGTTCAGTGATCTCTAACATCAGACCAACCTGGGTTCCTAATCTAGCTGTACTTTTACCAGCTGTGTGACTTTGGGCAAGTCAAACTCTTTGAGCCTCACTTTCCTTATTTTTAAATTGGGGATAACAAGAACCTACCTCTCAAGACTGTGGTGAGGATTATATGAGATAACCTATGTCTATAGCAGAGCCTGGTGCCTAGTAAACCTTCAATAAATGCTAGCTGTCTTTGCCATCATCTTAGTCCTCATTTCTCGCTCTCCTCCCAGCTCCTGGGAGAAAGTATGATAGGGCCAGGGCAGAAGCTGCTGAGGACCAATGGTTGATCCTTCCTGTGAGCGAGTGTGGTTTGAAGCCCCAAGGCAGAGGTTGAGAAGACATTTTCCTCTCGGGAAGGGTGGGGAGAGAGGTCAGCGCTGCCAGCCAGCTCATGGTGACTGGCCTAAACTCCTGCCAGTGACCTGCAGCCCACGGCCTGTGGGAATCCCATAAGTTCCCACCTTCCCCAGCTGCTCACTGGGAACTAACCACAGTCCCATGACCTGGGAGTTGTAGCCAAAGCAAACCCCACCCCCCTTGACGGAAATCTTGGGCCAACCTGGCCTTGGGGAGCCATGGGCAACCTGAATGACCTTCCTGGCTGTCCTTCCCCATGACCTTGCTGCTCCCCAGCCTGCCAGCCCATTCCCTATCTGGCTCCCCACTCTGACACTTACCCGTTGGGTGAGCCCCCGCCAGGTGGGGCCAGCTAGGCTGAGATCACCACTCTCCTGACGACAGCCATACTGTCTCTGCCAATGGCTCATTCCCTGACTTGGCAGGAATTCCCCTTCTCGAGTTGCCCGTGGATGCCCAGGCGTGCCATCAGCAGCACACTCTCAGCCTCTCTCCTTCCAGCCCTGTTTCCCCCACTCTCCAACCCTGACTTGGTGCTCTCAGGCCTCATAACCCGGGTCCTGCCGGGAGCAGGGGCCCTCCTGGCTGCCCACAGCCCGCGTGGGACTACCTCTCCATGTGCACACTCAATGCAGTAACCCTGATGACTTTCAGAGCCCCAGGTTCTTTGGAGACAAGGTGGCTGGTTCTTCCCCCAACCCCTTAGCTCCTTGGCCTCAACAAGTTCCATTCAAACCTGTGGCCAGAACAAAATACCACAACTCTGCAGCCTCTGTGGCCAGGTGCCTTACATGCCACCATAGACACGTGCTAGAAAAGTTGCCTATGGATCAGACTTTTGGAATGAGAAGCATATTCAAAAGCCAGGAGAGAAGTTATGGTTTAAAAGGAATCCTCCCATCTATAAAGCTGAGAAGCCCCCTACAGTCCTTTCTAGAAAGCCAGTAGTCATTCTTCTGTTGCGTTCGGTAATGCTAGGTTTGCATCTATTGGGTTTACATGACAAGGTCTTAGGTATCTAAATGACAGACAGAAATCTGGAAGTCCAGGTTGTGGCTGGTCAGCATAAGCAGTGTTTGTTCTAAAAGGCAGTGGCTCACACCTGTAATCCTAGCACTTTGGGAGGCTGAGGAAGGAGGATCACCTAGCACTTTGGGAGGCTGAGGAGGGAGGATCACTTGAGCCCAGGAGTTTGAGCCTGCGGTGAGCTATGATGGCACCACTGCACTCCAGTCTAGATGACAGAGTGTAACTGTGTCTCTAAAAAAATAAAAATAAATAAGAAGTTTGTTGAGTAGCTGTAAAATTGAATTTCTTGGGCTAGGTTACGCCAAAGTTTTCCTTCCCCTTCCCAAATGGTGGTCTGTTGCCTTGGCTGTACTGGGGGTACAGGTTTACCCAGGCTAAGGCACGGACGTGCAGATGGGAGAATGGAGTTGGTAGCTATTTCCCTAGATCATGACTTTCATCTGGCCAGCCACTTTCCTTGGCTGGGGAGCATGCCTGACCGGAGATCTTGGAAAGCCACTTGGTCCCCCCAGCCCACTTGGCATGGTATACAATCATTAAAAAGGAGAGTTATGCATTTTCCCTCCAGGGCCTTGATGAGACAGGCTCTGGCACCATGAGAGCCACTATGAAACTTCAGAAGACTGCTGGCTTTCACTTCTTGGCGAGCTGGAAGCAGCTCAGGGGGTCTGCCTGGAGGCAGATGACTGCCGGCTGACACAGGAGGTGCTGCCAGCCCTGAGTGTGTGCTCACCATGTCAACCCTGGGCGGTGGCTGCAGGGAGTGGCTGTCCGTCACATGCACAGCTGAGGAGTGGGCCTGCTGTTTGGGAAACAGATTCAGAGCCCTTTAGGAGGGCCCTCTGGGATGGTGGAAGATTTGGGGGGTTGGGGGAGGCAGAGAGATGAAAGCCTGAAGTTATTTGGAAAAAAAAAAGGAAGTGGCTTCCGGCAGAGTTCAGCAAATGAGGTCAAAGCCCCTGAAGTCTCTAATCCCACTGGTCCCTAGCCCCTATCTTAGAGCCAAGGCTCAGCCCACAAAAGACCCTGGGACCAGGGCAGAGAGGTAGGCACATGCCTTGGGTGCGGTTCAGAGGCAGTATAGCATCCAGAGGGGTCATTATCCAGTGGAGCCAAAGTTAACCCCTCAGCCCTCAACGTCTTCTGGCCTCCTGCCTCTCTTGTGTCACCTCTTTGACCTCTGATGTGTCCTCAGAGTGAAGCTGGGGAGGCCCTGGTCTGGGCTGATCTTCCCACATCTGGGTGCAGATGGACCAGGATAGCAACACATGGAGGTTTTGCCACAGACAGAGGCATAGCACAGGCCCTATGGGAATGCAGCCACTCCTCAGTTTCCCCACCCTGCCCCCGTGTCAGGGCTGGAGGGTGGTTGTTGTTGTTGTCAAATGCAGAAAAATACAACATTTAATGTCTATAAAGGTGCAGTATGAGTCATTTCACGGAAT